AATTTGTAGATCAGCATGTATGAAATCCATTTCAATTTTGCATATATGCAGCCATAAATCTCTTATCAGATTTTGAAATCATACTATTATTTGTTTGGGTTTTTAAAGATATATCTTATTTATTTATTGCTGAGACCTGCATTAAGCCTAGAAAATTTGGAGAGCAGACATGTTCCAACTTGCTTAATAGTTTGAAAATTCTGAACTGGGTCAGTTTAAACAATATTGTCCAACTTCTTTAGCTCTCCTTTCTTCCATCCTGTTGCACTTTATACATGAACACCCTCTTCTCATTTAGCAACTGCAATTCATTTCCTAAATTGGATGTAAAATGGTCGCCAGCTGAACAGAGAAAGATGCGTGAAGATCTCTGGTTTCTGCTGTCCCATTTCAATAAACTTCTCTTGTACAGCTGTGCCAGCATTACTCTCACTCTGCATGCATTGTAGTCAGGTGCCTGAAATTAGTTATTAATGCATGCATTAGTCAGAAAATTATTTTTTTTAAATTACCATTGTTCTTGCAAACTGTAATTAACCAAGGTAGCTGCTAAATGAGTTGTTATAGACAGAAGTGTAAAATGTACATATTGTATATTAAAAAAAATACCCTACAAATGATTAAATATGCATTAAAATTAACCTTTGAATAGATATAAAGAAAATAATGTAATTTTATAGTTATGAAAAGCTTTATTCTTCAAGCTTCATGGATTGTAAAAGGTCCTTAGTATGTGGTTGCATAAATGTTCATATATTAAATGGTCTTTAATGATTATAATAATCAGTAAGTATGTACAGTAAAATACATCTAGCTTTAATGCTGCTGGTTTTTTTTAACAAAAAAAAAATTCCAGGCCTCCATGAATTTGATGCCCTACAGGACCCAGAAATCAAAGAATTCCGGATTAAGATGCGACAAATTAGTGAAGAGAAAATGCAGTCACTGATGGGATTATCTTCGATGAATTGGTTAAAGCACACATATCCACCAGAATTAGGACCAGCAATCCAGGACAACTTCCAGGATAAACTTTATGGTGGCAATATTGTTGTGGCTGTTCATTATGAGAACTCTCAGGTAGGGTTTTTAATCTAATTTGCAAACTTTTCTATCCTTTAAATAATTTTCACTAAATGTGAACGATTTAATGAGCATACTTTGTATTTCTGAAAGAGTGATCCCTTTATTGTATTATTCTTTAGAGGCAGCTGTTTTTTTAGAACCAATAACAGTTTTAAAATCTAATGTGATACGGCATTGCAGTTGATTGAGAACAAACATGATAATTCTATGAGTGAATTTATGTATTTTACATTTTGTTAAATCCAGAGTCTTTGTGAAGCTGGATGACCTCAATACCTGATAAATTACATGGATGATTTTGGAGCCTATTCCTTTCATCTCCTTTTAAAAAAATAAATAAATACCATTTTCTGGTACCCTCTGAATTAACTGTTAAATTTCACATATTAAGGTTGAACATATTTAAGCATTGCAACTTGAATTATGAAATTACAATATAAATCTATTTTTTTCTGAATTTCTGTGAATCAAGTATGCATTTTAAAAAGTGACTAAAGCAGGTGGCATAGGAGGGTCTAATTTCATTCTCAAAAAATCGATGTACTTATATCTGATTGTTGATCTTCTGTTGAAGATTGCTTCTTTCAATTCCAGACTCACCCATTCATATTAAGATAGCTGCAGTTGATGTCCTTTCCAGTTAAAACAGCAATTTCAAAATGAAAGATAGCATAGATATATGAATTAAATAATTACTAACAATTGTTTTGTTTCTATATGCATAAAAATAAAAACAGGTATACTATAGTGATCTGAAAGTAAAATTGTATTATTTTTAATATAATTAAAATAATTCTTCAGATTAATCAATATGTTGTTTATAAACCTGCTTGAATCCTACACTCAATTCCTATTGTCATTTTCTTTACAAACAAAAATCTGGTGCATAAAGAAACTAAGAGCATATTAACTTTTTCTCTTGCCATGTTTTCTGGCTCAAAATTTTCACTTCAGCTGATATTTGTAGGAATTGTAATTTAAGATGAATTTATCAACTGGAAAAATAGCTTTTTTAGAAAGGTTAATTTCAGTCTCATCTCTCCTAGCAAACAGGTGACTCCTCTGAAATATACACTCTATATGGAAAACATACTGGATGACTTTTTTTTTTTTTGAATATTTGCTATTTCAGTTTGAGTCCTGGGCTGTGGCAGAAACTTCAGAGAACACAACAGTTTTGAGACAAATACACTTTGAAACTAAGAAAACATTGAATTGATTTTGACAGACTTCTTCATTATAGCTATGATACTCCATCATGAGGTTTGGCTGGTTACCAAAAAGCTGATACATAAATAAGTTGCCAGGCAAAAATAATAATAAAACCAAATGAAATGAAAACTGAGCTATGATTTACATTTGTCAATAATTGCTTTTGAATCCTTACATTTTTCTGGAATGAAAGCTCCATATGTCTTTATAAAAGCATTTTGTGAAAGTGGAATAGACACTGCTAGGAGGTTTCTTAAGAGGGAAAACATTTTTCATGCTTTCTTTCAGATCTATGGTGTTGGTATATATCTGGCTAATTTTGAAGTGTCTGAAAGAATCAGCATTTGAACTCTGAAATACCTTTAAGAAAATTTAAAAATTACTTTTCATAGAATGTTTTAAAATATTAAAACATAAAGTTTTTGTTTAATTTATTTTTTCTCTGTAGAATCAATTTTTGTTTACTCTTATTCTTATTTGCCATGTAATAACCCTATATTAATTATTGTATAAGGTTTAAATATAATAATGCTATGGTATGCATAGAGACTAGAATATAATATTTTCACACATTGCTGAGTTTAATAAGTAGTAACTTTTTTTCCCTGTTATAAGGCAGTTTCTTTAAATTTTATTGGCTTATTTTTAAACTTTTGGAGTCATTTGTTATAAAAATGTGATACGTATTCCTTGCTGCAATAGCACATCATCAGTACAAGCACATCATCAGTACAAGCATTTATATATAAATCATTTTGTTTTAATTCTCTGAGTGGTCTTTATTAGTGGATAAATATCTATAAATCAACTTAATATGTTTTAAAAGAAAAGAACTTAGTAATGTTTATAATTGGGAAGATTCTAGAGAAGGTTATAAAAAGGTTGATCTGAAAGCACCATAGAAACAAAGGATACAATGCAGTAATTAACTGAAATTCTCATATTTTTTCCCAGAACAACCTTTATTTCATAATTTTATTTGCTAATTTCCTTAGTAGATTGTGGGAGTGCAGTAGACATATTTTGAATTTAGCGAAGTAGTTAATGACAGTGTTGGTAAAGACATACTTAATTGGATATATAGATGATTTCAATCTATCTATATTCAAAGAGAGAACTCAAAGACATTCTTCATCAAACTAGAATGAATACCAAATGGAATGCTATAAGATTCATTTCTTGGCCCTCTACTCTTCAGTATTTCCCCTAATGATTTTGAAGAACAAAGGGAGAAGAGCTTATAATATAATACAACAATGAGTGAAATAGCTAATATCTTAGAAGATAAAAATAAAATTCAGATTAATCTTGGGTTTGGGAAATGGGCTGAAAATAATAGTAAAATTTAACATGGGCAAATGAAGAATTCTTCACTTAGGAAACAAAAATTAAATACACAGGTACAACAGCAAAGAACTGACTTAGTAAAAAGACATTGAAATAATAATTGAGTTCATAATGTAGTCAGCAGCTTAAAACAGCTTCTATAAATGTAAGTTTAGTTTATTGTTTATTGATTAAAGGACCAAATCAAATAAAAAATACAGCATATTGAAATACAGAAATATTCAGTGAAATAATATCATTACCTTGGCAGTTGACCCCAATCTAATCTAGATGGGAAGTCAGATGGCTTTAGCTATCAGTTTTGCCATTTTTCTTGCTTATAATTTCATAAACAAATTCCTTTTAATGCTTGATAATAATAAATGCTGTTTCTTCTTAATAGGATGTATTTAGTTTTCAAGTGTCTCCTAATATTAACCCTATTAAGTTAAATGAGATGGCAATTCGGAAATGGTTGACTATCCATGGAAAAGAACATGAAGAAGTTGATCCTTATGATTATGTATTACAAGTTAATGGAAGACTGGAATATGTTTTGGGGGATCATCCATTAATTCAATTCCAGGTATCATTCTTGCAAAAACAAACCATATTGATTTAAACTGTGAATAATATTCTTGAATTTTTCTTTTTAATATTAACTTATGTGGTAATACTAGTACACATGGACTTACAGAAAGAATTTTATATAAAGTTTTGTTTTCATATTAATAAGAAATATATAGTATTATACATATCCTAATCAGCATTTTTAAAATTTAAATCAGAAGAGTTGGGAGCAAACTTTGGATGTGTTGCTTAATTGGTAATTAATAAAGATATAATAAATCTTTTTCCAATTTACTCTTATTTTCTAAAGTCCTTTGACCCTAATTATATTTTAATATATGGGAGTGCATATTGTGTTTTTGACTGTAAACTTGTCACTGCATTTCAAAAACTGAGCAAAATAAAAGTATACAGAACTGGAATGAGCTAATATTAATATCAACAATTCATTAAATATATATGCCATTAATATTGTTTAATAATAATAATGATTATCAATATACTGGATGCTATAACAAAAAAAATCTTAAATGGCACTTAGAAAATTAGCACAGAGACAAAATTTCCATCTGTCAATTGAAAAAGGCCACACTGTTTGGATCCACACAATAGCATGCCTATACATTATGACATCCTAGGATCTTGGGAAGAACTTGATATATATAAAGACCAACACAAGCTAAAGAACTGGCAACTGTAGCTTCATATTGTTGTGAACAGATAATAATTTATTAACCTCTCATAAAAAATTATTAAAAAATATTAAATTTATATGCCACCTAGCTCCCAGCAACTCTGGGCAGCTAAATGTGATTTTAATTTATCTAAAATACAATGTTTATAGTTCACATTATAAATTAACATTTTCTTAAGGTTAAGTTAAAGTTAATTAAGTGCAGTTAATTAAATTAAGTCATCTATATTTAATAATTCCGTGCTTCCATTACAACTTTTACAGGAGCCGTAGGGCTCACATTCTGTGCTCTGGGACTCTGCACATTCCTATTTGAAATGCTCTATGTAATTTTGAACTTTCAAATAATCATATGATTTTCTTTTTCAGTATATCCATCGTTGTGTAATAAACAGAGCTCTTCCTCAGCTGACACTTATTGAATGCGGCACAATTAAAACAATGTATGAACAGGAAATGATCGCTATAGAAACAGCAGTAAATCGAAAATCAAACAATCTTCCTCTTCCTCTACCACCCAAAAAATCACGTGTGAGTTTTCATGTATATATGTCAACAGGATGTTACCATGGGAGGGGGGCTATTATTGCTTTAGACTGAAGGGGAAAAATCATTCAGAGAACGCTGGCTGCTATCCAGAGATTTTCAAACTATAATACTAGAGTGCCTTAAAATAAAATATATTTGTGTCCTTCATGAATAAAACTAAATCATAAATAATAAGTGACCACGACTACAAAACTACTTCAGCTGTCATAGTTTTGATGGCTACACCCATGATTTAGTCAAGGCTCAGAAGTTGTTTAGGATTTTGCTCTCTGCTTTGCTTGTACAAGCTCATTTTAGGCTTGTTCAGGTAAGACAAGAGGGAATCTTGACAGCGATCCCAGTTTGCCTGAACAAGCCTGATCATTTTTTTTTAAAAAAAATATTGAAATATTCCCAACCCACAATGTGAGAACTTTTGCAGTAAACAGAATTTATGACTTTAGTTTAATGTTTCTGTTGTAATCTGCTGAAATGTTATTTACAAAATAGAAATGATTCTGAAAAGAATCCTAGGAGGTAGTTTTGCATTTTCTCCTGTTCCTGAATTGGAGGGATGAATTACTGCATTAATGCTCCCTGGGACAAATGATATCTGATTTGGGCTTATTGCCTGTAGATTTTCTGCAGTCACTCAGGGCTTCCAGAGTGGATCTTCCTTTTCTTAACACCTGGAACTTCTGTCCAGTGTTGAACAGGCTACTTCCATTCTATCCAAAACCATTCCTATCAGATGCTCTGCAAATTAAAATTGTACTACTAGTGTACAGATTTTGAAATGTGTATGTATATATGCATTGCTTAAAGAGAACGAAAATCACACAGTGCTGCTTTCTTTCTACCACAGGTGACTCAAAGTGTCTGGGAGATTGGCCAGCCTTTCAAAATTTTGCTAGTAAATGGTAGTAAATTGGATACAGAAGAAACTGCCAAAGTAAGTAACTATTTTCCAGTACAAGAGATACATTGCCTGTTCATCCCAGTACATTTTGTATATTATGATCATACTTGAGTTATTATTTAATTTATGAGCATAACTATCAGATAAAAGTTGATATAACTTATCAGTGTGTTATTTGATTTTAATGTTCCATGTTACTCAGTTTACAAACTATGGACAATTCAAATTCAGTCATACATAAACATTTTTTCTGTGGTGAGTATAAAAAGAAATGAACCATCATTTCCTGTGAAACTAAAAAAATCCTCCTTTTAAAATAATTATTTTAGTGTTAAATGCCATTATATTAATGTTCAGTAGCTTAGAGATGAATTGTTCTGAACAATTTAAATAGAGTGATGCCCAAGTACAACATATAAATGTGTTCTTATACAGTATTTAATTACTACAGAGTCATATAGGGTGTATTTTATTGCATGCTTATTGATTTTTGTAACTCTGCTCAATTTGTATGAGTAGATTTACAAAGCAGTTACTTTTTAATTCACTCTTGTGCTCCTTGGTCTCTCAGTAGCTTTCAGTAGTGTTCACCATGGTATCTTTCTGAGATAGTTCTGCAGGCAAGGAATTGGGGACATCATTCCAGGGTGGTTCTCTTCCTTTCTCCAGGACTGGTTCCAGTAAGTGCTGTTTGGGTAGAGGGATGTTCTCTCGGCCCCACTTTTGTGGAATGCCTTAGGGTTCTACTCTTTCTCCCCCTAATTTCAACATCTACATGAAAGCAGTAGATGATGTGAACCCAGTTAAAGCTTTTGACTCCCAGGCCAGCAAATTAGGCTGTTGAGATTCTGTCTCAGTGTCTCTAGGCTGTCTGGGTTTGGCTAGGGAGGGACCATCTCCAGCTCATCCCATTAAGACCAAGTGGTTGTGACCTTGTAGGTCACTAAGAAGTAGGGATATTTCATTTCTGACCTTGGAGGGGGTTGCTTTTCCCAATTCAAGAGTGGTGTGCAGTCTGTGCATCTTGCTGGAATCACAGCTCCTGCTTCATTAGCACAAATGCCACAGAGAGTTCAAAGATATCTAAGAAGGATGTATTGTCTTCATCACAATCCCAACAGTGGTCATCAACAAATGCAGTCATGCTACCTAAGGTCTATAACAAGCCTGAATCCTAACTAGAAAGGATCCAGATAATCTGTTTCTTCCAGCCCCTTCTGGAGCTGTAAGCTTTTCTCAACAACCCTCCCTAAGTAGAGTTTCCCTCATCTCGTGCAGAGAAGCATTCACCACTGCCTTTACCTAATCCTAAATACTTCCCAGGGCAGTTTAATCAACTAGGAGATAAGGAGATTTAAACCACAGATAGGTGAATTCACAGTACTATTTCATCAGGGCCAACAGACTCAAACGTTTCCCAGATAACTGGACTAGATTGTGCTTCAGGTAACACTAACAGACACTGATTGGATCTTCATTTCTATTCATATGTCAATATTTAATACAGTATGTTAATTCTTCCTGTTCAAGTCTTGTACAGTTGTGCTCACAACTTACAAAGATTTGTCACCACTAAGAGGGTATATACAGGTAATCCTTGATTTACTACCATTTGTTTAGTGACCATTCAAAGTTACAGTGGAACTGAAAAAATGACATAAATATTTTTGACACTTACATTCCTGTGGTTACCTGATCAAAATTCAGTTGTTTGGCGACTGTCAGTATTTATGACAGTTGCAGTGTCCTGGGACCATGTGATCACCTTTTGCGACCTTCTGACAAGCAAAGTCAATGGATAAGTCAAATTTACTTAACATTGTAAATGTAAATGTAAATTTACATTTGTAAATGTACAAATGTAAATGTAAATCCCACGTTACTGACTGAATAACTGTGGCACAAAGGTCATACAATGGGACAAAACTCACTTAACAACTATCTTACTTAGCAATGGAAATTTTGGGATCAGTTGTGGTCAAGGACTGTCTTTATGTCTGATTAAATTCCATTTCATTAGAATCTTATTATAACTATTCTGCTTATGTTAGTGTTTTATCAAAAGTACCACACTTCATAGTTTGTTTATATATTGATAAAGAAAAAAATTATAACTTTAAAAGTATCTCAAATTCTATCAGAACTTTGTAAGTGTAATTCCATTACAATAAGTATGTGTGTGCGCGCTTGTGTGTATGTGTGTGTGAGTGTATCAGCAAGACATGAGAAGCTTTTGAAATTGTATTATTTTATGTATATATCCTGCTTTTATTATTTTTATAAATTACTCAAATGGGCAAACCTACCTAATACTGTTCCTCCTATTTAAGTATAATCTATATCGGTTCATTTCCTGGTTGTGATAATGCCAACAGAGATGGAAAGTTTATTTTAAATCATTCTTGTTCTAAAAAAATGTAAATTAACAATTGCATAAAATAAATTTGTCTCCTTACAGCAGAATTGTTTAAACTTTATTGCATACAGCATACAGTAATATCATTAAGAGCAATTGCACGAAAGCCACTTTTTCATGTTTTTTTCAAGTACATACTGGTATTTTAATAATCCTTGGTATTATTTGTGTAGTTGGTACAATATTTTAAAGTACTTTTCTATCGTGTATCTTGTAGGTTCATATCAGGGCTGGCCTCTTCCATGGCAATGAACTCCTTTGTAAACCTATTGTAAGCTCAGAAATAGCAGGGAGAAATGACCATGTTTGGAATGAACCCTTGGAATTTGACATCAATGTCTGTGACTTGCCGAGAATGGCTAGATTGTGCTTTGTGGTTTATGCTGTTATGGATAAAATGAAAAATAAAAAATCAGCCAAGGCACTGAATCCATCCAAATACCAGACCATGAGGAAAGCTGGGAAAGTGGTAATGAATGCATTTAATTTCTTCTTCACATTCCGGTTCGCAGCAGGGGATGCTACTTCATGTGTATCTGTGTGGCTGTAGATATTGCAGGTTTCTATCCCCCTCTATATATGCAAAGATATTTAAACTCCTGAAAAGCTGTTTCAAATCAGCCATTGTTTCTTGCAACCCGGTCTACCTCACAGGGTGGTTACTGTGAAGATAAAATAAAGGGAGAATCTTCCCATGTGCAGTGATGGAAGCTGTCAAAGGCAGGATATGCATGTTGACCTTGACCTAGGACCATTTATTTGGTCAGCAATGGTTCCAAGTTAGAATGATTCTGAACAAATTATAGTTATGACTGGTCCATGGAGTTCCAAGTCCTCCCAGCACCCTCGCAGTCACATTATCACAATTTGGGTGCTTAGCAACCCCTTCACACAATCAGTTGCCAAGCATCCCACAACCATGTGATCGCAACCTTTTCTTGACATTCTGCAGATTGTCAGTGGGGAAGCCATCAGGGAAGATCGCAGGTTGCTGGTAGCAGCCACTTACCTGCCCGAGGAACTGGGACTTGCAACTTCCTGCCAGCTTCCTCATTGGCTTTGGTTGTGGGTAGTCATCAGGGAGTTCCCTTGCATAACAGCCATAGTATTCAGTTAACAATGGCAAACAGGACTACAGGAATTGCTGCCACTAAGTCATGCAGTCACATTTTACGACCACATTGCTTAGTGATGGAAATTCTGGTTCCAGTTCAAGGACTACCTTGTAACCGAAATAAGAATATGGTGTTTGAAGTTTCAGGTTGTTTCAACACTTCACATTTTGTTTAGAATTCTCTAGAGCTTCCCTAATATTTTCTGTAATAAACATTAATCTTAACATTTTTATGTTTGTTTTATGCACTAAAATGTTTTTATAGTCTGCAAAGACAAAGATATTTCATCCTACAAAGATACATTATTGGGCTGATTAAATTTAAAACAAATGTTAAACTGTTCTAGCATGTTAATGGAGTATAAAATTTAACTGTAATCAACTTGAATATATTTATTAATTATTTGAATCATTCATCTTTAAGTTCACTCCAGCTAATAGTTTTATATATTTTTTTGTAAATGTTTATGTATTTATTTACACTTTGCATCTTTTTCTGTCAGGGAGTTCTCTGTTTATGCTCATTAGCTTTTTAGCCTCATAACCGTTCACAATAGGTAACATTGGGAGAATAGGGCTGGTCAATGAGTGGGAAAGATGGAGGGCAAGAGAAGAAGGGGACGACAGAGAATGAGGTGGCTGGATGGAGTCACTGAAGCAGTAGGCATGAACTTAAATGGACTCCAGAAGATGGTAGAGGACAGGAAGACCTGGAGGAACGTTGTCCATGGGGTCGCGATGGGTCGGACAACAACAATGAGTGGGAAAATAAGTTTGCTATAGTTTGTGCCTGATGTCCTTTCCCAAGATGGTTCAAGCTATATTGCTCTTGAATGTCTTCTGAGATCCTCTCACCATCAGCAACATAATTAGTAGCATTTTTTTCTATTGATTGTACCTTTGGATTTGTTTGTCTCAGTGTCACTGTACCCTTTTGGTTTTAATTTTCAAATTATTTGATTTATCTTTGCAGCATTATCCTGTGGCATGGGTCAATACTATGGTATTTGATTTTAAAGGACAGTTGAAAACTGGAGACCTTCTCTTGCACAGCTGGTCATCATTTCCTGGTGAGACTGAAGTTGCTATATGGGCTTCATAACCTCCCTTGATTTCAGAGTGGCTGATTTGCTGGGACTGCCTACAACAGCTACTCTGGAATGAAAGGCATGCAGTATGGATTACGATTAAGGCAGTATTAGAGAACAGGATGGAGATCTGTAATGTATAGTTATAAAAAAAAGAGTGTTGATAATAAAATACTGACAGGAAAGATAATGAATACCAAATAGAGACCTCTTTTCCTTAAGGTATAATCTTTTCCATCTACTTGGCTACCAGTAGTAGAAACTTTCTCTGTTAAGAGATGGATGTTTTATGGTGGCTATGTTAATACTTAACCTTTGCAAGGGAAGGGGTAGCTGCTGTGTCATTCTCAAGAAAAGATGTATCAGATGTAAAAGTTGTTGCACATGTGTACTACATTTACTGTAGTTCACATTCTGAACTACCTTTTGGAAATTAGATCTAAAGCACTACTCTGCCCTAGTAAACCCCTTAAAGCAGGCATGTCAAACTGCTGGCCTGCGGGCTGGATGTGTCATACCGAAACCGGCAATGTAGAAAAAGTCCCGATACGTTGTACGACGTCACGTGACGTCACGAGTTTGACATGCCTGTCTTAAAGGTTCCGTCCTCATTAAAATAGTTTAGAACTTGTTTCTTTGTCATCGTATTTTGTTTAAGAGTAAGATGAAGAATGGAGAAATATGTATATGTATGGAATAAATATACTACCTATGTTTATTTTAATACAGGCATACAAAACATTTTAAGGCAAATAACATTCCAATTTTGAAATATCCCATTCTGATTGTAACACAAGTGACTCAGCCTCAAAAAAAAACACTCTGTCAAATAGAGGAGTAACTATTTTGACTTTGGACCACTTACAGTAATGTCATACAGAACATTTGAACATTGGAACATTTCCAGTGAAGTCAGAATAAGATATTTTATGGTCAGAATGTTTCATCCTTGAACTGTTCTATTCACCTGTGTTCGGAATATTTACATTTCCATCTAACTTCCAATTACTTTAGAATTTCCATTAGTTTATGTGGAAATTTGTTGGGTCTCTGTTTCTTTGAAGATTGTTCAATGATTTGCTGGCCCTCATAGAAGCAACTCAGTTAAAGTAATCTACCTCTGATTATAAAGTATATTTAGCAGTGGAAACATAGTCATGAAGATCTTGAAATATGTTTCTGTATTTACAGATGTAATGCCCTTAAATTAAACAAAATGTGTAGTTAAACAAAATATGTATTATTCTGGTTATCTAGATGAACTTGAAGAAATGTTGAATCCAATGGGAACGGTACAGACTAACCCATACACTGAAAATGCAACAACTGTGCAAATCAGATTTCAAGAATATTCAAAATGTCCTATTTATTACCCCCCTTTTGATAAGGTAAGGTGTCATTTAATTTTTGCCTATGCTTTCACTTCCACACCAGCGCCCCAAAATACACAAGCCCAACATATCTCTTTGTCCAATTGTATTATTACCAGGGAATTTATCACATAGCTAAAGAACTCACAAAAAAGCTTGGACATCTCACAGAGATGAGCAAATATTCTATCAACTCCCCACTACAATGACTCCAGAAAATCAAAGACCTAATATAGAAGGTAAGATGATGGTTTCATTCGATGTCACAACATTCCTTACATCCATAGATTCAGAACTGAGGGGGGGGGGAATCCTGAGAGCAGTACTATACAACACACCCAAAATAACCAAGTACACTAAGATTAACATACCCAGAACCATAGACCTGATCAACCTCTGCCTCACTACCTATTTTCAGTACAGTTGAAATTATATATCAATAAATCACAGGAACACTCATAAGACCACCACTTTAAGGACTCATAGCAAAGTCTGCAGTACAGCGTCTAGAAATCAAAGCACTCCCATGCATACAACCAAAAGTATGAATCTGATATGTGGAAAGCTTTGTCATAATAAAAAAGAAAAGCTAAAGAAGACATAAAGCAATCTACAACATCTTCAAAGAAATAAAATTCATATGGAAAAAAGATAACAACAATGCAGGGCCCTTTATGGGTGACTTCGTTAGCAGAAGAAATGACGGCAAATTAGAAAAACAACTTTAAGGGAGAAACCACCCACACTTATTTAGTGATCCACTACCAAAGTAACAGCTCAACCTCCCATGAGCGCAAAAGCACTGCAGCAACCCAGAACACCAGAAAAAGGACACAGATCATCTAAACAATATCTTCTAACAAAAAGGGTACCTACACAACTTTATCAAAAAGTACCTGACTATTCAACCCACTACAGCACAACCACCACAAGCTATGAGAAAGATAATGATACCATACATTAAAACCACACAGCATCACGAGAACACAAACCAACTAAATTCCTCTACATCATCTTCGGTAAAACAAAAGACTCAATAGCCCAAAGAAAAGAAAAGATAGGAGTCATCTGCAACATACAGAATAAAATCTGTACCAGCCACTATGCAAGAAAGAAAGAAGAATAGCAGAGTGCACCCATGAACATCAACTAGCAGTCAGAACACATAATGAAAAATCCTTAATTTCACAGCACACCAACAGATTTAATCATAGTTTCAGCTGGGAAACTCAGCATCTTAGACCAAACTAAATCCAAAACCGACGGAATTCCTGGAAGCTTGCCACTCAAATCAGCCATCAACATGCACATAGACCACATTACACCATTCAAGAGACAATAAGAAAAGCTTTAAGAAAAGACCAAAACATCACCTAACCAGCAATCAGTACTCAAATAAACAGAAATTAACACAAGGATTAATACCAGACAATCAAGCAGTAAACAACAGCCTAATCAAAGAAATACCAAGAAGAAAACAACACCCCCATCAACTCTGACAGGGCAAGCCACTGTATGTAAACAGCAAACTCCACTCTCTTCTAGCACTGAAGATCTTATCTAACAAAATGATCTGCAAGAAAACAACCAAGCTCAGAGATAACATGGACTCAATAGTCACTTCAGTTTTAAATCTGTGAGATAGTCTTGAAAACTTAGGTTGAATATAAGTTCTTTCTGTGTATATAGGTGAGCAAAGTTTCTACCAGAAATCTTCAGCTCTTGAATGCTGCAGATATGCTACTGTGTGGCTGCAGAATCTATGTATGTTTCAATATGAGGGAATTCATATAAATCAGCTGTTAACATGTAAAATGTGGTGCAGATCATTTGAATCTTCAGTATCTTTGGACAGAAAGTATATTTTGTTCCTCCCACATGTAAGGGGATATAAACATACATTTTAAATTGTCCATAGAAGTAGCTGAAAAATTAAATAATGCTATAGGTACAACTTGGAAACTTTAAATTGACAAGTTGCATAAATTGTAGTCTAAAGCAGCAGTCCCCAATCTTTCTACCGTTGTAGCCTGGCCGGGAGTGGGGGGCATGGAGAGAGGATGCTTCTGTGTGAGTGGTCGGCATATGCACAGCTCCATTCCTATAAGCACAAATGGAACGTTGCGCACGCTCTGGATTGGATATTAGTATGGAATTTGGGCCAATTTGATGCCTATTTTCATTTTTAATTCTTTCACTCTTTCTATTACCAACTACTGCTAGAAATACTGAATTGAGAGTTTGAAATCATGAGGAATTTCAGATTACAATTATTTTTGTCACAAACCTGGCCCCAGTAGAACCTTGCATTTCACACATCTCAGGTTGAATCTTTGGCATCTCTAGATAGATCTGGGTAAAAATTCCTGGGTATAAGGTAGAGTGTTTTGCAAAGATATTGAGCTAGAAGGGCTAATGGGCAAACCCAGTATAAGCTTCCTTCTCCTTTAATTAAAAATGACTGCATGATTCCAGCTAGCATAAATCTGAAATGTTCACAAATGTGCAATTTCAAGGTCTGAATTCTTCTTTTAGTATTTAAGTTTTGTTACACAGCTGTGTTTATTGTTGGTACAGTGAATTTTCTTACAATGAAACAATGGAACCTGATTCATGTTAAGATAGGATAGTATAAAATGTAGATTTAGTATCTGAACAAGGACAGAAAGAGCAATGTAAATAACATTCATTTCCTTGCATGCACATGCCATTTATCAGGCTGCACAGAAACCAATTCTTTACTCTTTAATTCTAATATTGTTTGGCCTAGTTCAGTTGTGTATGTGCGGGCAGTAAAATTTAAATTTAAACTTAACTTTCTTAACATGAGTTACATTTTCTGCAGATACTTGAAAAAGCAGCTGAGATTGCAAGGAACAGTGATTGCTCTGGCATGGCAGTAAGTATCAAAGATGAAATAATTGCCATTCCCCATTTAAAACAGAATGTATTTATTTTATGTATTTTCTTTACCATGTGCTAAATACTAGTATTCAGAAATAATTTAGTTAAATCATGATATTCTTTCAAAATTATGTTTCTAGTAAAATACATAAAAACACAGCTCATTAGCAGCCCACTAAATATTGTGAAGTGTACCAGAAATTGTGAATATATCTGAAAATGAGAGTAAATTAATTCTTATAAGTATGAATAGTTTTATCGTGATTTTCTATATTTAGAATTATTAAACCTTTTAATAGTGTAAGATAATCAACATTTATTGTCTCAGTAGAATGTTTTGACTTAAATATTTATTCTATACTTACTGTTCTGAAAGCACTATGTTTTGATTGTTGCAGCTTTTTGGATTAATAACATTATTAGTAGACAATAGTCTATATGTGTTTTATAAGGAGTAGTCAGAAAAGAAATGATTTTAAATCAATCAAATTTGAACAAAGTACTGCACTCTAATTTCCTGATATATGAATGAGTTATTGTGTTTTGCAGGCACATTTACATTCCTTGCTCCTTTCTTCCCCTCTTATTTTTATTACCCTTAAATTTTTATTTAGCTTTTTATTATCCATAGCTTTCTAAGTCAGTTGAGCCATTGGAATTGGAATTGGCTGAGATTTGGATATCATGTTTTGAAGTTGGTTTATTTAAATAAACATAGCTTGAATACAAGATAACATGGCAAATTGTGGGTAAATAAGAGCCTAAGTCAGTGATGGCCAACCTTTTAGAGACCGAATGCTCCAAACCCGATCTGCCCCACCTCACCCGCCCCACTCCAGACCCCCTCCCTGCCCCACTTGCCCGCAGGGCCACCCAACTCCTCCACGGCCCGCCGCAGCAGATCGCCCAGGCAGCCCAGCAGCACCGTCGTGGCCACACCCTCTGCCTGCGCCCCGCAGCATCATCTGCATGTGATGGGGGCAATCTTGTCCCCGCTGCCCGGCTGCCAAGTCCTTCGCTGTGCTGCTTCGTGCGGGCTGCGCCTGGGGGCGACTCTCCTCCGGGGGGCTGCTGATGAGGGGCTGGGGCGATGGCGCGTGTGCCCACAGAGAGGGCTCTGGGTGCCCCCCTCTGGCATGCGTGCCATAGGTTCGCCACCACTGGCCTAAGTGAATGCTTCTACATTCCTTTTTACCACATTGGATAGGCACAACAGCTCAAGAGAAGACTTAGTGTACTAATCACAACTTACTACAGGTTCACAGCAGTAAGAATAAATTTAGCACAGCATTGGAAAGGAGATAAATTACCAAAGATATCAGACTGGAAATTTAAACTTGGAGAATATGCAGTAATGGCAAAATGCAGCAAAGCAAGTATAAATATCAATAAATAGCAGTGCTGGATGGGGAATTATGGGAGTTGAAGTCCACACAACTTAAAGTTGAGAAATACTGATCTAGACTACAGTTTTTAAAGGGAAAAAAAACTAAAGCATTAAAATCAAAGATAAACACACACAAAAATCAGATGTCTATAAATATTGTACATTAGTCTACATATGATAAAAGGCAAGTTAGAAACTAATGTTTATGTTTATTTTACTCTTTATTGGGTTTATTTATATTGTATGTTTGAATATTGTACTGTGGGAAAAATGATCTCTAAAATGTTTCTATTTTTAAAACAGTGCTCAAATGTAAATATCAAAAGTTCTGTTGGATGTTGACTTCATATGGTATTCTTCACTCTCCTTTAATCTGTACATTTACCTTTAATATAATGTTTTGCTTTTATCTATTTTTTGAATTTTAAATTCAAATTCACTTCAGCAGAAATATTACCCAAATGAAATAGTAAAATAGCAATACTGCCCCTTAGTGGTCTTCCTTGAGAGGTGCATATTTCATGAACTACAATTTTGGTGTTTGTGATGTATATGAAACTTGTAAAATGAATGTGATTTGATAAACAATTACACTAAAACAAGAATGTGTATATTATGACCTCATGGCATTTGCAGCAGTACAAGAACAGAAATGCTTGTTTTGATACATACATAAAATTTACAGAATATATGCTTGAACATTTATCAACATGCAACCTTCTAGGGTCGTGGTGGCAAAAAGTTCTTCATTGAGCTAAAGGAGATCATGGAAAGGGATCCCTTATCCCAGCTGTGTGAAAATGAAATCGATCTCATTTGGACATTACGATTTGACTGTCGTGAAAATTTTCCACAATCCCTGCCAAAACTGTTGCTATCTGTGAAATGGAACAAGCTTGAAGATGTTGCTCAGGTAAGATATATAGTAAGCTATGTGGAGCAATAGTAATACCAGGGACAAAGTGAGTGATTTTACTTAGGAATGCAGATTGTAATTTAAACGAGATACTGTTAATTGAAAAAATGTAGACATGCCAATGATTTTTTTACAAAGCTGACATGCTACAAAGTAAAGGCCTAACTCTAGCATCTTACTTATTTGCAGCCAGGCCTTGAGCCCTGCAAAAGTCTTCTGGTAAGGAATAGGGTACCCTGGGAAACTTATTCATCTTGTGGTAGATAGGGTTTTGTGATTTGCTGTTGCCACCCTGGCAGCCAGTCAGTGAATAGACAAGTCATAATTAACGTAATTAATTAACACCAGAGGTCCTCTTTGAGGGAGATGAGTGGTTTAGAAACATGAAATATAAGTAAAATAAATAATTGCTGTTTACTCTATGCTATCAAAATTCAAAAAGACACAATTGTTTATCCCTAAGAATGCCATCTTGATTCTGTATTTTACTTACTAGTGTTTTTATATGAGCCTATTGTTTGAGATAATGTCCAACTAAATCTATATCTTGTTTTGGTAAAATTGTTAGTTTTTTGAAAGATTACTCATACTTCTTTTTTTAAGCAAGAGTGTATTTTATAAGCAGCAGCAATCAGGCATTCTTATAGAAAGGTGTTATTACAAGAACACGTAGTGTACAAATCATTAGCCCTATTTCTGAATTCCAATGGGATCAACATATTTTCAATAGTAAACAAGGTGACAAACAAGCAATCTCAATTACTTTCTGTAAATTACTGTAAATTACTTTCTGTATAATTACCATCGCTAAATAATGCATTTATACTTTGGCTGATACAGTGACAGTTCTTATAATCTTAGCTTTACAGGAAAAGGTTCTAATTTAATTTTTATCAATTCGATTAAAAATGAAATTGTTATTGTAAGCTGTTTTATCAGTATTTTTTCATTTGTAAATTCTGTCCATTTTCTCAATTTTTGCATTCTTTTAAAATCAGGTATTTGGGGGGTGAGAGTGGGGAAGGTACATCATTGTTGCTACATAAACAATAATTTACAACATCTAGTTGTATAAGATAATGCCATAGAGAACACTAGTTGTCTGTTAATATTTTATACAAGCAAAATTGTATATGGCATCAACTTTATTACATGCAAAAATGTTTTAAATTTGTTAAAATGTGGGTAGAAGGTACAAAAAAAGCTAAAACTGGCATAGTTCATTAATTTATGAAATAAGGAGAAAGATTCCTAGATGCTGCAATTTTCCCATTATAATGAAATGTTACATTTTTTAATGTGTGTACTTTTGCTCTGAATCAATATCATTGACTGTTCTGCAGAAGTATTGTTTTTTTGGGTTTTAGTTTAAGAAAGGAAAGGAAAGCTTTGAGCCCAGATGTGATAAGTCCCCTTGTTGGCCTCTGACCAACACTCTTAGATCAGCCAGTACCCACCTGGGATGTTGATCTAGCTGGTCAGCATTTCCCTCCTTATTCAAGCCCAGAGAAAGAATGTAAACAAGAATTGGCTGTATTTTTGGAATCTTCTTGGCTCCTTCTCAGGTCATTGAGCTCTTGTTTCCTCTAAGGGTCATATCACTTAACTTTTTCTAGTTCAATAACCTCTGCCTCTAATTTTAAGTTTTTTTAAGCAGTCATAATCCTAGTGGCAACAGAACAATATTCCATATGTTGCACACATTTTTGAATGCTTGGATTCTGTTATCTGATATTGTAGAGATGAAGCCAAATATACACAATATTAAATTGCATGTTTTCTGCAACGAAGGGCTCAAGTTAGAGCTCTTCAGTGCTCTGCACGTTGAGTTCAAGTGTGAATTCAGGGCTACATCACTGCTCAAAGGATGGTGTCATTTGCACTTTTAAGATGGGGCAGCTAATTTTAATGTTAGCTTTTAATCTGTTTTTTTTATTCATATTTCCATATTTTAGCAATTATCAACTGCCTTAGCATTCAGTTGAATGGATAGGTAGGGAACCAAATAAGATACAATAGATCATAGGTTAATAATATAGAACTGTTAATTTTACAAAAATAACCAGTCCTTCTTAAATTAATTGCCAAATAGCATTTGCATATGTTTCTAGAATCTGCAAATAAACAGAACTGAGCTAATTTGTGTCCAGAGATTAAGGAGATTATATAACTATAACTGACACAAATCTTTTTAGCTTATTCTTTTAAGTATCCTGAATGTCTTCTTTAATGTCTCATTTGGATTTGATTTATATCAACAACCACTACCCCTTTGTTACTCCGCAGATCTCCCTGATTCTTCTACCCTCTGCCACAGGAGGTCTTTGTTCTGCCACAGATAGAGAAATAATGAAAAGCCTTCAAATCTCCCCTTTTACAGCATTAGAAGGAAAAGAAACAAGTGAAATTATTGACATTTTCACCAACTGGCTAGAAATAGGAATATTAAAGAGTCATATAGTTTGAACTATATTGCAAGCAGAGAAATGGAATCTTACAGTGAGGGGAAAAAAATATTTGACTCCCTGCTGATTTTGTACATTTGCCCACTGACAAAGAAATGATCAGTCTATAATTTTAATGGTAGGTTTATTTTAACAGTGAGAGACAAAATAACAAAAAAGAATCCAGAAAAATGCATTTCAAAAAAGTTATAAATTGATTTGTATTTTAATGAGTGAAACATGACTTAGTACTTGATGGCAAAACCCTTGTTGGCAATCATGGAAGTCAGACGTTTCTTGTAGTTGGCCACCAGGTTTGCACACATCTCAGGAGGGATTTTGTCCCACTCCTCTTTGCAGATCCTCTCCAAGTCATTAAGGTTTCGAGGCTGATGTTTGACAGCTTGAACCTTCAGCTCCCTCCACAGATTTTGTATGGGATTAAGGTCTGGAGACTGGCTAGGCCACTCCTTTGTTGCCTTGGCCGTGTGTTTTGGGTCATTGCCATGCTGGAATACCCATCCACAAACCATTTTCAATGCCCTGGCTGAGAGAAGGAGGTTTTCACCCAAGATTTGACGGTACATGGCCCCATCCATCGTCCCTTTGATGCAGTGAAGTTGTCCTGTCCCCTTAGCAGAAAAGCAGCCCCAAAGCATAATGTTTCCACATCCATGTTTGATAGTGGGGTTGGTGTTCTTGAGATCATAGGCAGCATTCCTCCTCCTCCAAACACAGCGAGTTGAGTTGATGTCAAAGAGCTCAATTTTGGTCTCAGCTGACCACAACACTTTCACCCGGTTCTCCTCTGAATCATTCAGATGTTCATTAGCAAACTTCAGACAGGTCTGTACATGTGCTTTCTTGAGCAGGGTGACCTTGCGGGCACTGCAGGATTTCAGTCCTTCACAGAGTAGTGTGTTACAAATTGTTTTCTTGGTGACTATGGTCTCAACTGCCTTGAGATCATTGACAAGATCCTCCCGTGTAGTTCTGGGCTGATTCCTCACCGTTCTCATGATCATTGAAACTCCTCAAGGTGAGATCTTACATGGAGCCCCAGACCGAGGGAGATTGACAGTTATTTTGTGTTTCTTCCATTTGTGAATAATCGCACCAACTGTTAACACCTTCCCACCAAGCTGCTAGGCGAGTGATAGCGAACCTTTTAGAGACCGAGTGCCCAAACTGCAACCCAAAACCCACTTATGTATCGTCAGGTGCTGGGTGGGCGTGGCCAATTGGGTGGGCATGGCTAATTGGGTGGTTGTGGCTTGCTGGTAACAGCAGACTGGGTGGGACTAAAAAGTTCAATCAATCAATTCCAACTTTGTGAGATCTTTTTTTCTCACGCGAGAAGTTGAAATTGATTGATTGATTGATTGAACCTTTTTCTTTTTTTGCACACAGTGGCAGAGGCCTAAAGCGAAAAGGTTTTATAAAACCCAGCTGAAGGCCTAGGACTGGGGCAACGGCACGCATGCCCACAAAGAGGGCTCTGTGTGCCACCTGTGGCACGCGTGCCATAGGTTCACCACCACAGTCTAGGCAATAGTCTTGTAGCCCATTCCAGCCTTGTGTAGGTCTACAGTCTTGTCCCTGACATACATGGACAGCTCTTTGGTCTTGGCCATGATGAAGAGTTTGGAATCTGATTGATTGATTGCTTCTGTGGACAGGTGTCTTTTATACAGGTAACAAACTGAGATTAGGAGCACTCCCTTTAAGAGAGTACTCCTAATCTCAGCTCATTACCTGTATAAAAGACACCTGGAAGCCATAAATCTTGCTGATTGATAGGGGATCAAATACTTATTTCAGTCATTAAAATGCAAATCAATTTATAACTTTTTTGAAATGCGATTTCTGGATTTTTTTGTTGTTGTTATTCTGTCTCTCACTGTTAAAATAAACCTACCATTACAATTATAGACTGATCATTTCTTTGTCAGTGGGCAAACATACAAAATCAGCAGGGGATCAAATACTTTTCTCTCACACTGTATGTACTACATCTCTGTTGAATATGTTTCCTTTTGTGCGTGTGAAGGGGCAATACTTATTTATTAACTGACTAAGTCTTGTTTTTTATATTTATATTCTGCCTCTCCTCCAAGAATTCAAAGCAACTCAAATGGGATTTCACTTTATTTTATCCCCCCCAAAAAACCCCATGAAGTAGATTGAACCAATTCCTTTTCTTTCTCTCTGTCCAAAGTCATTCAATGGCTAAGATGCAGAAACTTGGGTCCAGTAGTCCAACTCTATTCATGAATGAATTCTGTTCATAAATATTTTAGTTATTGAATTCTGCATATATTATGTTTATTTTCTGAACAGCTTCAGGCTCTTCTTCAGATATGGTCAAAACTGCCACCTAGAGAAGCATTAGAATTATTAGATTTCAATTATCCTGATCAATATGTAAGAGAATATGCGGTGGGCTGTTTACGACAAATGAGGTAAGTAGTATGGGTTACTTTATGCTAGTAATTGTCTCACAAGTTGTATCTCAACAAGAAAATCCTGTGACTTTTACCCTGAGTGAAATAAATTCTCTAACTCAGGAAACAATTCCAGCTGTGGGCCAGGCTAAAATCCCAGTTTACTGATGATATCAGTAAGATCAGGCTGGGTGGTCCTCCTTTGGGAAGTGGTATCTAGTCAAGAGAGGACAAGTCTCCCTTTTCTCACTGGGGCAAATGCTATAGCATTGGAAAGACACAGATGTTTTCAAAATGCCAATTTAGAAAGCATCCAACTAATGTCCTATGGAAATGAATCTTTGCAAATTTAGGATTATGTCATGTGAAACGTACAGGAATTTACACTTGAGCAGATGTGCAACAGATTTGGTATGTGTGTTTATATAATAGGTTTTCCAAGAATCTGTTTATTTGTTAAATTTTGGTTAAAGCATAGATTTATATATTCAATCAAGATTCTTTTCAGAAAAATCTTAACTATTATCAGTCTTGGATGTTGTTGGATTTTGTGGCCTTGACTTTTCTGTACAGTGCTGTATAAGATTAATAGCATTTCTTCTTTATTTCCAAGGCTAAATTGTTAACAGAATATTTTGATATCCTCAAAATGTAAACAAGGCGTTTTTTTCTATAAAACTTGTCTAAGTTTGATATAGTATATAGTAATTCCAGAGGATTGTTTCTACTGAGCATTTGGCATATTATAAATTATTTCATTACTTTTTCTGTTTTGCGTGTGCAGATATCATTCAGGAGAGCATTTGCATTCAGCATGTTATACAGAATGTCAATTTTTGCAGGCATCTTCCTTGCTAAGCAATATATGAAACAGAAAAAATGTTTAAATAATCTCAGTTGACAAGAGTAATAAGTGCTGAAGGCAGAAAAGCCATAGTTACTAGTACCCTCTCTAATGTTGTGGCATTATATAGTGTACTAATCACATCGTTATTGTGCTCTAGAGGGTGTCTTGAGGAGAATGTCGGCAGCCATACTGGATGACTGAGTTTAGTGATCTTTTACTTCAGTGCATATAGTAATTCTTTTTACATATGAATGGACAAAATATATTTTCTCTGTTGATATGAAGTTTATAATTTCCATTTCAAATTAAAATCTTTATTTGTAATTTCATTTGAAATTAAAACAGAACCATTATTTTCTTACCTCTAATCAGCAAGAAAGTTGGAAGGTGGAATCTTTGAACTTTCCTATTGATCTTTCAGCCAAAATTCATGTAACTAATGCTAAAGAGATAAAGATGTAGATAGCCTATGACACTTAAGGAAATTGACAGTATCTTTAGGGATGAGCCCAGACACCTGTAAATTATAACCTTTTCCTTATGCATCCAGGCAGGGCACAAAGATATGAGCTCAGTAGATGGTGTGGGCATCTTTGACAGAGGGGTTCCGTTGCCTGCCTTGAAGGAGATGATAGTGTATCTCCTCCTCAAAAAGCAATCCTTTGGTCTGAACATCTCAGAAAATTATCAGCAAGTCTCCAACTTGCCATTTCTTGGTAAGATTGTTAATAAGGTGATTAGTTTTCAACTACAGAGGATCTTGGATGAGACAGATTATCTTTTTAATGGAATCAGGCCAGAGCATGGGGCAAAAATTGGTTGTTCTTGTGAATGATATGCAGCAGAATTGTTTTACCAGATCTCTTTGTTAGTCCTGTTATCCCTTTGTAAGGCTCTGAAGACCTGGCTGTTCTCCAGGCTTTTGGGTTAAGCAATTAGGTAAGCTCTGTTGGTGGTGTGGTTTTGTTTTAGTGGTTATTGTTTAACTGAGGCATCATGAATTTATACTATTATGATGGTTTTAATTTTTGTGAACTTCCCAAAATCACTGCTGTAAAGTGTTTAAATAAATATATTTGCATGGTATTCTTTTGGACCCCCTACAAAGACTGGAGATTGGAGGTATTCTTTTGTACCCCTCCCCCCACGTTACATAAATAGAAGGCTACTAATAGATTCTTCCAGGAGGTTTGCATTGGACAGATCAAAACTGAATGGAGCAGATAATCCTGGAGACACCTCGGTGTTGAAATCAGTATATTGAATTGTACACACAATAGGAAGTCACTGCAGAGTCGAGTCACAGGTGTTCGTGTTGAGCATGGCACTGCATTCTAAACTAATTAAAGCCATTTCACGTGGAACACATTGCAGTAGTTCAGTCAGTGAAGTTACATGATAAGGGCATGAATAACTGTTGCAAGACCCTCCTTTTTTTTAGATTTGAGTACTGCTAGAGCAGGGGTGTCAAACTGCCGGCCCATGGGCTGGACGCGTCACCGGGAAACCGTGCCCACCCTATTACCGGCAATGGGGAAAAAGCTCCGATACGTTACGTGGCGCTGCGAGTTTGACATGTCTGAGCTAGAGGATCAACTGAAAAACTCCTAGGTTTTATAGCCTTCTGGCAACAGCCGTAGACCCACAAGGACAGAATACAAAATACAGAATAGTAGAGTTAGAAGGGACATTGGAGGTCTTCTGTCCAACCCCCCTGTCTTGAGTAGGAAACGCTATACCAGGAGTGTCCAACCTTGGCACTTTGTTCCTTTGGGGCAACGCCACCCTCATAAGAGACCCAGCTGAAGAAAATATTGGGGACACTTTCCACACCCATTCAGGGAGAAAAGTTCTGTTTGAGTGGCCTACCCCCAGGTACCTGATTGACTCGATGGAATTTTAGAGGGGTTATTTCTGATGCTCTGGTGCACAGTTCAGCTGAGAGCCTGGTTGCAGTTTGGAATGAACATGTTCCTGTGTGGATTCTGTGTTCATGGATCCTGTAGAATCCAAGAGATGAAACCATGTAAGCTGTGGTGGGATTCAGATATGTAAACAACTGGTTCTCTGTGTGGATGCCACTTCCAGACGTCTATTCTGGGCCTGGGCAACAAAAAATTAACTACTGATTCTGCCAAAGTGGTGCAAACTGGCTGAATCCCACCACTGCATGTAAGAGACATCTAATGACTTAACCCTAACCAGAAGGATTGGCTGTAGGTTTTGTTGTCCCCTGGATCTGTAGAGTAGCACTTCCCCAATCAGAGTTCGTAATACGGGGATCTTCTTGAATTTGCATCAGCTATGCTCAGTAAGGAGATAATAACTGGCTAAGGAGCCAGTTATATATATGCAGATCCATCTTATATATCATGTATCTTGGACTGGGAGGTCCTGCCCATGGTCACTCAGCTTTTGAAAAAGGAGATTAGGGAGGAGTTGTATTCAATCGCTTCAGCCTGACCTTTTACCATTCTTTTCATTATTTCATGTTTCTCCTGCTTTATTTCATCTTCTACCATATACTTTAAAGATTGCCCTTCTACAACATTTCCCATCTATTCTACCTAGACAATTATGCAGTCCTTGCTGAGGAATCCCCTCTATCAGAAGATGTACAGCAGCATAAGAGAACCCAACAGCAACCATTTTCTGTAGTAGGCCACCTCCTCTAGTATAGTTGCCCTCTGAAGCATGAATGGCTCTCACAACCATGGCATTAGGAAAATTGACAAAAACATGCCCCTTTTTGACCTGTCTTTTGACCACTTCTTAATTTTCAAAATGTTTAGTTTTGTGTTTTGTTCTTAATTTAAGTTTTCAATTTTTATCTTATTTTAACATTTAATTTTTAAAAAGGTACCTATATTCTTTTGGTTTTAGGCAGCTGAATACATCTTACAAATCAGTAAATATATAAATACATACTGTTTTATTATTGGTTTTAATTTAGTTTATTATATTCTGTATTGGGAACATTTTATAGAAGACAATGTAGAAATGGTATAAAATTGAGAATGCATTTATCCAGAATTCTATTAGTTTATCTACTTTTTTAAACTTATTTTTAGTGATGAAGAACTTGCTCAGTATCTCCTGCAGCTTGTGCAAGTCCTGAAATATGAAGCTTTTCTTGACTGTGCCCTCTCCAGATTCCTATTAGAGAAAGCCCTGGCAAACAGAAGGATAGGACAAATGTTGTTTTGGTATTTGAGGTAAGACTTAGAAGACTTGTTATACAAAACACCTGTAGCAAATAAGTATGGAGGGCAGTTTCTGTTCATTCCGAGTGTTATATTTCATTATTCTGTTTTATATCATATGTGTATAATTTATGTTTTCAATATCCAATTAAATTGAATTGGTTAAAAGTAGATGACAATTAAAAAATGATTTCATTGTGATTTCTTTTCAAACAGAGAAAATGGTTTATTTTTAGTAAACCAGTAATACATCTATGGTAAATAAGTGAATTCCAAATAGATATACAGTATACAATTCTTGAATACAAGCATATAAATAAGAATCAATAAAATGCATGTAAACATAAATGCATAAACATAGTCAGCTGGATAAACCAACTACAATTGAATGATCAACCAAACTTGGGAAGAAATAGCTAAGAGTTGCTTAAAGGAAGATTTCTGTATTCTGTGAAGCACTTTTTTGTGACATTGATCTCATAACAACTGGAGACAAAGGGAGTGAAAGTGCTTGACCACAAATGATAACAATTCTTGCTGAGTGTCAGCATAGAGCAGGTAGTACAGTATGATCCAGTGTTTCAATACGATCTCGTTTGAATAGAGACGCTGTAGGACTGTTAACCTAGATGTCTAGCATGCTGGATAAATAGAGCAAATCAAAAACATGTTTCTAGGCAAAATTGATAAATCTATTTGTATCTTTGTGTCCTTGGCATATTGCCTAAGGTTGGTGAACGTGCATTCATAGCCCATCTGGGTAATTGTGGCTCATGAAAATTGAAGTGGATAGCCAAGATTAGCGAAGACAGAATGGCTGGAAGAAAAACTAGCTTAAGTCAGTAAGAAAATGTATAAATCCAAGTATATATTTCAATTTTTAAGTAACTGGCTTCACGGTGCAGCATTGCATTAGGAATATAGTAGGAAAATTGGAAAATGGAACTTTAAAATTGGCTTTGTATCAAGGGGAAGGGAATGACTGTTAGATACTCAACTAAACTCGAAAAAGGAGTTGAATATGAATCTCAGCCAAGAAGAGTTTAGACACTGCAGGTACAAACAGAGCTCTTTTGGAGCTTATCAAACTAATTTTACTCTTTTCATATCTTACATCCCATAATGAATTCATCAAGGGAGTTTATAAAGCTTGTGAGAGATGGTGCCCATGAAGGGGAATCTGCTGTGACAGTGAGAATAGTAAGGGTTTAGTCTGCAAGTATCTTGCATTATATATAAGATTGCATAAATGTTATTTTGATCATAATCAAGTTCTATCTGTATGGGTTTTCCATATATTTATTTTTTTTCCCAAGTCTATGTTTAGAAGCAGAACCACATCGTTTCTTTACGCAGTTTCTTTATAATTTATCAAGCATTTCATTAAAGATATTATATATCTTCCTTGTCCCTTTTAAAGTTGACTCAGTTCTGTTCTTCAAAAGTAGCAAGGTAACTTGGGAAAAGCTTTGCTTACTTCTTGGAATTAGGTGAACTTTTTATTTACTACTTGAAGTGAGGACCAGTCTTGGATTTATTTATCTTATACATTTGTGATAGAATGTATCAGAGGATTCTTTGTTCCTCATAAAAAACACAATCATACAAGATTGTTTTACATCCTAAGGCACGGGTATCAAACTCGCCGCATTACATGACATGTCGTGACGTATTGTGACTTTTTTTGCATTGCTGGAGCTGGGATGGGTGCGGCCTCTGTATGATGCAACTGGCCCGCGGGCCGGCAGTTTGACACCCCTGTCCTAAGGCCTTATTCATTAATCTTTAGATCCATGTTTTTGTCTCCATTGAATCAGCATCTGAAAAACCATTGATCCAGCTGAAGGATCCTCCAGATTGTTCTTCAAATATTCCTGCCCACAATTAATGAGTCAAAACAGCAATAATCAGGCTTTTAAACTGCAGCAAATTGGTGCCTTCAAAATGCCTTCTTCTCCATTACCTTTTGATTTCTAAAGCTGCCGTTTCAAAAGTCATGTTTCCACTCCTTTTGATACTTCCATAGTTTGGAGCTCTGAAGTTATGTTGGACTTTCACTCCTGTAATCAGCCATGTGTAGTGAGAAGCCCAATTCATAAAATGCTTATCATTTGAAAAGCTGCTGTAATCAATAGGTTCAGACCTCTCTTGAAATGGAATACTCAAGAAGAGGTTCTTCTAATGGCCGTCTTCTGATTTTGGCAGAGCTCTCCTCAAGCTGACCTTCTGTTTAACCTTTAAGAACATCAGAAACTTGCACATAAGACCGAATTTCTTTTCTCACATTGTTTCCTGAATTTTGCAACAAGAAATTTTGACTCTCCTCTGTGCATGTTCCTTTTTAGAAGATGGGAAATTTAAAAGACAGAGGATTTAACTTGGGGGATTAGATTGATTTCTGCTGCAAAAAGATTGAGTATTGTATTGTGCAAGTATATACTTTCCATGGCTTGGCATCTGTTTATTTGTAGAGCAATGACAACATAATAGGGGTTTTAAGGGCTGCACATTTAACCATCTACCTTCTGCATATATATTATAAATATGACTTTAAAATACATGGTTATACATTTATACATATGTGTCTTGTAGATCAGAAATGCATATATCTACAGTCTCTTTGCAGTTTGGTGTGATATTGGAAGCTTATTGTCGTGGAAGCATCACTCATATGAAAGTTCTTTCCAAACAGGTACTATTTATTTTAAATCCTTCCCCTGAGTTTATTTGCATGAAGACAACATGGTGTAAGATGCTTTTATAGGCCAGGCCCTTTTGAAAAGGAACCTAACAAAGCCACAGTAGTCTTATTACCGACAGTAGAAATAACCAGTAATTGTTGCTTAACCAGTTGTGAAATGCTGTTCACAATATTCATTGGGAAACTGGCAAAATAATACTTTTAGAGGTGTTTTTTTTTTCAATTTCAAATATCTATTCCAGGTTGAAGCACTGAATAAGATGAAGACTTTGAATAGCTTAATCAAGCTGAATGCCATGAAGCAAAGTAAAGCCAAAGGGAAGGATGCAATGCACACCTGTTTAAAACAAAGAGCATACAGAGAGGCCCTTTCCCATCTCCAGTCCCCTCTGAATCCATCTGTTTTACTTTCAGAACTTTGGTAAGATGACCTGCTTTCATTCATCCATATACACTGTACTATAAGTGGTAGTATAAAAAAACAGAAGACTCCAATTCTTTAAGTTCTCTGCTTTTTATTGCTCTGTAGACATGACCATGCATAAGGCAGCATTTCTACGTGTGGCTGACATTCTTTTTCTCCCTCTTAGCCATGTAAGCAAATCTCTGTTATCCTAAGGTTAAGATGTCAGTTCTTGGAGTGAAGATTGGATTAATCTTTAAACTGTTAAATGTTTAGCATTTCCAATAATAATGGCTTAAGTTAAGAATTTTATCACTAATTGTGTTATCAAAATATGCACAATAATAGCTTATGTGACAACTTTTTAAACACAAAACCCAGTAAACTTTGGGAGAAAGAAGAGAGATTTTCAAAGTAAATATGCATCTCTAGTTCAGGTGTTGTATTAGTGGCCACTAGATAGGGATCCAAGAATTATTTAAGTAATGTGCCAATTTGCAAGTGTTAACTGATATTGAAGCAACAAAATGAAAGTTTTGAAAAGCATTTGACCAGTTTCTAAAATTCCATTATGGAATAATCTTCTATCAGACTTATTCCTTCCCAATACATTTTTGTGGCTCATTAATCTTTTAACTGAACTCACCAAAAATGTTATTACCTTTGTTCTAGTATAGAGAAATGTAAATATATGGACTCAAAAATGAAGCCTTTATGGATAGTATACAGTAACAAAGCGTTCCCACCACTGAACCACCCTTAGTAAAAATTTTTACCTCTACCATTCATGTGTCTTTTAAAGTAAAAGACAACAACCGTAAAATTACAATCTAAATAATGGTATCATAAGACTGCGACTTCCACACCACCTTATAACGGTAATAAAGTCAGTTAAATATAACTTTAAGTCAGACTCTTTATAAAAAAGTGTTTAGATTTATTGCTTTATAGATGTTTGAAAAGTTTCTATGTACACGTAGTCCTCAATTTATGACCACAATTGAGCCCAAAATATCTGTTGTTGAGAGAGACAGTTGTTAAGTGAATTTTGCCCATTTTACAATCTTTCTTCCACATTTATTAAATGAATCACTGTGGTTGTTAAGTTAGTAACACGGCTATTAAGTGAATATGGCTTTCCCATTGACTTTGCTTGCCAGAAGGTTGCAAAATGATCAGATGATTCTTGGATACTGCAACCGTCATAAATATGATCTGTTGTTAAGCGTCTGGATTTTAATTATGGGACCATGGGGATCCTACAAGTCGTGAGTGTGCAAAATGGTCATAAGCAACCTACAACCAGCCTACAAACCCCTCAGAATCTAAATCAACTATACAGCCAACCAGAGATCGCACCAACCCTCAACCAACCCACGCAGGCCCCCACCACCAGCAGTTCACTTCCCAATGACGCTGACCTGATGTAACCTCCCCATTACAAGACCCATCACAAGACTCACTGATGACTCACACCTGACCCATCACAAGACCTCACTTGACACACCCACACCTGAAGCCCTTCTAAACAGAAGAACACTGACATTGACATCCCCTAAACTCCGCTGAAGATGTTACCTAGCCTGGTAGTGAAACGTTCAGAAACCAATCCACAAGCTCAGAGAAGGAATCTTCTACATTCAAGCTAAAGATACTCGCCACTGTTACATAAGTCACTTTTTTCAGTGCAGTTGTAACTTTGAATGGTCACTATACAAACTGTTATAAGTCAAAGACTATCTAATATTGCACATTTTTCAATTATTTTATACAATCTTATCTATCAATTTTTGTTACAGATCTACGACAAGACATGTTGACTCTTCAGATGTTACGTTTAATGGATTTACTTTGGAAAGAAGCTGGGCTAGACTTTCGGTAAGAGGGCTTTTAGTTAGTGGATTTTCTTCTAGTGTTGTTTAGATTGTTACTGTTACTATTATCTTTAAATAGTATTTATTTGAGGACATACAAAATGATTCAAAGTTATCTGCACAACTTCAGTTAATTTCTAAAAAATACTTGCTTATACTTGGAATAGAAGCATATATTATCATTTTTAAAGAACAAATCCTATGTAAGTGTGCTAGTTTAATTTGATAAATAAGGATTTTCAACAATACCAAAAATGTTGCATCCTCGATTATTTGCTGCCCTATAAAGCAGGGGTCCTCAACCTTGGCAACTTTAAGACCTGTGGACTTCAAAGCTGGCTGAGGAATTCTGGGAGTTGAAGTCCACAGGTCTTAAAGTTGCCAAGGTTGGAGACCTCTGCTATAGAGGATAATAAAAAGACGCCATTAACCAAGATACTTTAGTTTTTAATAAAATGTCAGCTACAAGGATATTTCATTATCTACCATAGTATACTGTTCTCTTTTTTAGCCCAGCATGTATTCTTGAGCTATTTATTTATTTATTTTCCAGTCTAAGGGTTGGACTAGAAGACTTCCAAAGTCACTTCTAACTCTGTGTTTCTGTTTTTTATTTTATTTTTTATTTTTGCTATTACTTGAAAACTACCTAAAGGTCCCCCAGCTTTAATTTGCAACATGCAAGAATATTGATATTCTTGATAAATTTGATATTAAAATATTTTAAATGTAAGAATTTCAGTTTATTTTCCTAATTGGATATGTACATTATTTTTTTCATTATAGAATTAAATAGAAAAATCTCTGATTTTCTCCATAGAACCAGTCCCTGGTGCCCCCAAAAGATTGAGACCCGCTAGACTAGAAAACCTCCAAAATCCCTTCCAGCTCTATTCTGATTGATTGTCTCTCATTTATGTTGGCGAAGGCCAGATTTAAATGCCTATAGTCAAATTTAAGCAAATCTGTTGAAATGAACTGTTAATACTATAATAATAATAATAATAATAATAATAATAATAATAATAATAATAATAATAATAATAATAATAATAATAATGATGATGATGATGAAACATGAGATACCTAATATTGCACATGGATTTCCTGAAAGAATTCGTTACTGTCTCCCACCTTATTATTAAATCCCAGAAATGTGGAAGGTCGTGTGTATAAATAGCAATTCCAGTCTCCCTCTACAACTTTTCAAATCCTTGCTTAAAATAAAGTCATTTTTCTATGAGCATCATACTAACTCCTGTTGGAATACCAAAAATGGCAACAGAATAATTGATATTTTGTGATGCCATTTTGGTGGTGGGAATATGATGAAGTTCATTATAGCTCAGTTTCCAAGTTGCCAGTCAGTAAATAAATAAATAAGACTGAATTAATTAACCATTAGCAAGGAAAAAGAATAAAAGGCCTATTTATTGATGCCTTTACTAGTGATATAAAAATGGTACTAATTGCATTATTCATATATCCTTCAGCATGACCATACTGACTCATGCTCGTGTTGTTACCCAGTTTGATTTCTAAATGCTACTCTCTAAGGAACTCCTGTGCTTTCCCTGCAGCCTGTGTTTTTCTACTTGGACCCCTTACTCTCTCTCAGCCCAACCCAGCTTTCACTGGGTAGTTGTGAAGAAAATAGGAGGAGGTATTAGGGATGTTCACCACCTTGAGGTTCATATATAAGAAAGGCAGAATTAACAACAGCAGTAACAACTTCATAAGATTATATTTTTTCCTTTGTTAATGTATTTACTTAGTCCTTGTTTAAATGGGCAGTTGCGCAACACTTGAAACGCTAATTTGCCTTTTCTCAACAGTAGATGTAGAAGAAACAGAAAATCATTTTTTTTAATAATAGATATTATATTCCTAACACACCAGATGGTAATCTGGAGCGCATCTCTTAAATATTTTTAGTTTAACAAACAGAATTTACTTCAGGCATATGGTAATCACTCACACAGATAAGAACAATATATTTCAACAAGTGACCCAGCAAAGAAATAAGTTATTCGTGAGAAAATGTTCTACAATTATGCCTCTGATAGCAGAATAAATTAAATACAAAAGATTCATTTAGGAACTATATTACTCAGAGAAAACGTGGTTATGTGTTCAGAAGTCAGTTACTGATTTACCATCATTTTGAAAACAAAAAAAAAATATCCTCCCTGATTTTATACAGTAAATAAGCAGTGTAATTTTTACCAATCTCTTAGGAAGTGTTGGGTCAGAGTGGGGAAAAAGGATTAAAATGAATTGTAGCAGAAGACTTTATGCATGCTTTTAAATACATTTTTGACAGTGCTAAAAGCTACAAAGGAAATTTAAGCCAATATTGATGTAATTAAATTGCAGAATGGATGAGAACTTAAAAGATCTTAACAGCTAAGTTCATGCTGTAAATTTCCTCAGTGTTTTCTTTAAAATCCTCAAATAAGAATTTTCACTTATTTTTAAAAAAATTCTCATTAATTGTCACTTTGAATTCAATTCCAATTTCCATAGAATAGAGGCGGACAGCACAGCATGCATGTTCATCAGAATACTCAGCAGACTCTCAATCTTCAAGAAGAACTTTAAATATATGTATTTAGTTAAACATTCTTGAAAGTGCTCAGAATTTGATGTTCTTATGCAAGATCTTGTATTAGAAGATTTCCTGATTTTGGAAATCTGATATGGCAATTTCTGCTGAAATCTTATGAGATTTCTGTTGGAGAGGACAGAAAGTTGCCAATCCTTGCCATAGATAAGCAGAATATGGCGTGATTAAAAATGTGATAGTTTATGTTAGAAAAAAAGAATATGCCAAGAATCTTGTCTAGGAATCTATAAGAAGTACATGTTTGGCTACTCCACTCAGACAAATAAGATCCAGAACCTATACTTGTTAGGATCAACAACAAAAAAACATCACTAAAGGGTACATAAATGAGTTTTCTAGAACTTTTCATCAACCTAGGTGGATGGTGGATTGAAAAGAACCAGAAAAAATAAAAATGTGGGCCAAATATTTATTTTATTTTATTTTTTTATTTATTTTTATTTTTTAAACCAACAAAACAAAACATAACACACATACACACACAGTATATACTCCTCCCTTTTTTTAACAGCGATTTCGTAACAGTAATCTTCTATTATTTACATTTCCCCCCTTATTCTTCTTTAGAATATTTGTCCTTGTTGCCCCATTGTTTCTTATTTGCATTTTTCTTCCTTCATACTATATACTTCATACTAAGAATAATACATATTATTATTACTATACATTATTATACACACATTTTCCACTTTTGACCTTTCCACATTTATTCTCCTCTATTGTTTCTAGTCTCCAACCAGTCATACCACTTGTTCCATATTAGATAGTACTCTGTGTCTTCCTTTTCTTTTATCTCTTTTGTTAATTTGTCCATCTCAGCACAGTCCAGGATTTTTCTTATCACTTTTTCCTCTGATGGTAAATTCTCATTTTTCCAGAACTGTGCGTATGCTATTCTTGCTGCCATTGTTATATGTAGAATTAAATACCGTATTTCTTTACTATATTTTCTGTTTAAAATACCCAGCAAAAAGATCTCTGGTTTCCAGTCTACGGGTTGGTCTATTATTTCTTCGATCCATCTTCTTATTTTAGTCCAGTATTTTTTCGCAACTGGGCATGTTCACCATAAATGATAATATGTTCCATGTACTTTTTTACATTTCCAACATGTTGGCGAATTGTTCTGGAACATCTTGGCAAGCTTTGCTGGTGGAAGATGCCATCTGTAAAACATCTTCAACTGGTTTTCCTTGAATGCCGCTGACATAGTCAATTTTATGTTTATTTCCCATATTTTTTCCCATTTCTCCAATTCTATATNAGTCTGTAGCAATGCATTCCTAACTATGTGTCTTTGAAAGTATCTGTGTATTTTATATTTTTCGTCCCATAGGAAAGCATGCCACCCTGCTTGCAAGTCATGTCCTTCTATTGTTAAAACTCTAGTATTTTTCAAATCCATCCAATCTTTTAGCCAAGTTAAGCTCGATGCTTGGTAATATATTTCCCACTCTGGTAACGCCAATCCCCCTTTATCTTTCATATCTTGCAAGAGTTTTAATTTAATCCTGGGTTTTTTCTTTTGCCATATAAATTTGTGGGCCAAATATTTAATTGCTAACTGCAAATGATCAGACCTCTACGTAAATGTATTTTTCTGGAAACCTCATGCATTTTTCCTTTTTTAAAAATTGCATTTGGCCAACATTCAATTGTAGTACTTTGAAATAAGGGAGATAGCACCATCTGTTGTTCAAGTACTAGAAATTCAGAACAATGCTTTCCTTTTCTTTTTCTTTTTCTTTATTAAATACTGATTTTGGACAACATATTGATTTAAACTCTGTTTGAAGAAGATAAAAGGAGATAAAAATAATTTAAATAAATAAAAATATTCTGACTTAATTATAAACTCATATTTTTTCCAGACTGTTGCCTTATGGCTGTTTAGCAACTGGAGATTATTCTGGTTTAATTGAGGTGGTTTCAGCCGCTGAAACAATTGCAGACATTCAACTCAACAGTAGTAATGTTGCTGCAGCTGCTGCATTCAACAAAGATGCTCTGTTAAATTGGCTTAAAGAATACAATACTGGGTATGTAGAAAATTCTTAATTACTTTATTCCTGTTTTTTTTAGCATCCAGTCAGTTTTTTGATCAGATTAGTGACATTTGAGAAAGTCACTAATAAAGGAGTTGTGACAAACTAATTGGTCTTCAGTGGTGCCTCTGCCTAGGGACTTAAACAACAAATCTCTTGTAATTTTGCAATCACTCTTGCTACCTTTCCATTTGTGTAGGGGAACAGAATGTTGTTAAAGAGTCTTACTGTCAGGTATTCACGCAGGTTTCACAAATACATTAAAACATTGCACGATATTCCATAAGCAAATACATCTATATTTTCATGTAATACCTTCTACACCTGCAGAATGTGTGTGTGTGTGTGTGTGTGTGTGTGAAAGAGGGGGGGGTGTAATTTGTAGTGTGAAACAATTCTAGCAGCTGTTACCATGTACAAGGCCAATACTTTATAAAAATTACTAAATACTTAGTGATATTTAATTTAAAAAATAGGCTGGAAGGAAAGGTTCATACTGTTATAAATCATCTTCCAGAATTGTTTGCAACATTGCTGCCATGTATGAAAGAAAAATCCATCTTGATTATTGCATTTTCAACTATGGTTTTAGTGAAAGAATTTGCTACAACCATATCATTTTTAACATTCTCACCACACTTATGATTTCCTATAATATTAGATTTTTTTTTAATATTAGCATTTTTAAATGTTAATGTTCCTTACAATTGCATTCTTTGATATACATGTAATACTTGCTTAATTTCGATTTATTCAGTGACCATTCAAAATTACAACAGCACTGAATGAAGGGACTTACAGCTGTTCCTCATAGTTCTGGTCATGGCCACTTCCCTCGCAGTCACCTGAACAAAATTTATGGCCATCTTTTGATTGTCCACCTACCCGCTGCAACCAATTGCTCCCTCTATCTGGCCTTCCCTGCCATCGCACTATGAACCATTTCTGCACCACCCAGAAACATCTTTTGCAGCTTGAGCCTTCTCTCGTGTGTTCAGTGAGGGCTTTCATGATAAGATGGCAGGATGCAAAAGAAGGCCCCTGCTGCACCAACACATGCTATTTTTTTATGTGTGAACTTCATTGCAGCACTCTACAGTGTTCTTGCAGAAAAGCAGATCTGTAGGCAGTTCAGATGATACAAGTTTTAGGGCGTAAAAATACACATTTTCTTGCTAGCAGCTTACAGTGTAGAGTCATACAATCGTTGTTGTATCAAATAACAATAAAGAAAATAGTCCTTAAATCACTTCAATGATAGTTGCATGATGTGAGGATGTAATTAATGAGGAATTGGTGGGAAGTAATTCCAAAAGTTCCTTCTGCATTTGCCATTTCATTTTGCAAGATGTTTCCTTAATAATGCTCTTGGAATTATTTTGGTAAATAAACTAAATGAGATTCAGCTCTGTAATTTAAGCAGCTCTTTAAAAAATATAGTATAATTTTTTAAATGTCTGGTTCAAGTCTATTTATAAACACTATTATCTTTCTAATTCAGAGAAGATTTGGATCAAGCCATTGAGGCATTCACTTTGTCTTGTGCTGGCTACTGTGTAGCTACTTATGTCCTGGGCATTGGAGACAGACACAGTGACAATATCATGGTTAGGAAGAATGGTCAGGTAAGAGTCAATATATTAATGGGGAAATGTTTGTTTGGAATATCCCAGTAGAGACATTCACTCCCAGCTCAGAATGGTGATTCCTTTGCCCCTCACTGCCATGTGGCTTTCCAGCATGTAACGGTTCTAATAGTGATTTTGTTGGGGAAAAGTTTTTTCACAGCATGCTGTTACCTTCATCATTCTCATAAAATGTATATCATTCTAAAAATATTAAAACCTTTCTTATGTAACATTTTCTAACAAACTTAACATTTCTGCATAATAGGAAAATGAAGTGATAACTTTAAAAAAAATTAAATAGGCTTTTGAGTATGTTTGTGCCTTAGGAGCATAGAACTTCCTTTGCTTTGCAAATCTCCTTTGATATGTGACAATAGCTTCCACCTTGGGTATGTGTTAAGTATTGTGTATTGACCTAATAAAAGAGTCATTGCAGTGGAGTGAGACCTACCCTTTTCTGCTCAGGCCATTTTTCTCCTCTTGCCTTCCTTGCACTAGATGCAGTTGTCTTCCTGATGCAGCAATTTTCTCTTTGTGAGTAAACTGCTAGCATGTGTTTGGATTTTTTCCCCATCTTACTTGGCAAATATTAAATTGTTGTTTAATTCAAGATTTAACTCAAAATTGTTAGTGGGATTATCTTTTTTCAGGCAGTTATAAAGTAGCAAGCAAACCTTTGCCAAACATATATCTGAGAATACCTGCCTAAATATAGATCCTTTCCTGGGTGAATATTTCTAACTTCCATATGGACATTAAGAACTGAAGATTAAATATCTCACTAGACCAGAAACTCACCTTGTTCCTAATTCTCTTTTTCCTTTCCATCAACTGACCCAATAGCCACTGCATTTTCTCAAGTCAGACTTCCTCTCCCTGCCAAGGAGAAGGAATTTAATCATTTAGGTGGTTTAATTAAAAAGATATAAATTATTAGTTGAAAACTTGCAATTATTCATCATAATTGAAGAGATGCAGTTGTATTTCATTGCAGAAGAATTTAAAAATAAGATGATAGTGTTTTGTTATGAATAATATGAATATTTTCCCAGATATAATGTTGTTCTGTTTTCCAGCTGTTTCATATAGATTTTGGTCATATTCTTGGAAACTTCAAATCCAAATTTGGAATTAAAAGAGAACGAGTCCCTTTCATCCTTACATATGATTTTATTCATGTCATCCAGCAGGGAAAAACTGGAAACACTGAAAAATTTGGCCGGTAAGTACTAAACCTATTAGAATAATTTAGTTCTGGTTTAGTCTTAGATCCCTATGTGACAGAATCAAATTGACGCTATACTAATTTTTAGATACCTGTCCAGTGAGTGGGAAATGGGAGATTAAGCAGGGTTAGACCTGGTTAGTATATAGGAAACCTCCACACTGTAGGATAGGAGTGGAAAATCTAGGAAGGCAATAAAAAAACTCTTGTGGACAAAAAAAACCCAACAGCCTGTAAAAGGACATATTCAGGTCATCATAAACCGTCAAGCTTAACTTGGGAAAGTAGATTTTACATAATGTCTAGCTTCATATATGAAAGAAAACAAATAATATGATAGACATTATAGGAAAAGTAGGCATTTGTAGGCATTCTTCTGTACATAGTTCTATTTTGCTTGTTCTCATTCGTCTAATATATCAGATTATCAGAATTTGAACTACTATTGAATTTTAAGAGAATTCTTGGAGAGTGTGTCTGTCTATATATCTGTATGTGTATGGACACGTGCATACATGCAATCTATTGTTTTCCCATATAAAATCTTTTTCGCTGATCACAAAGCCATATATTTGAATACTTTTGAAATAAATAAAGTCTCCTTTTTTAAAAAAACAAGGAAAATGGTTCTCTTTTTTTACTTATTAGAAAACCTGCTGAAGTATTCCCATGAATACTTAAGAACATAAATAAAAGTTGTTTTTGGAACTCAGTGTTAAATGTAATAGATAAATTTGAGAACCACTTTTTAAAACAATGTCCAGTTGTTTCAGTTGGGGGAATAATGCCTTTAAATTTATACAGAATAATCAATAGTGGTAATACTAGAAAACATTGTTCCTTCTCTTGGAGAATAGTTTAGAAAAAACTGAATAACTGATATCCAGGGTTGCATGAATTCATTCCTGACATCAGACACTGATGTAATCATATTTCTGATCCTGAGAATTTTTATCTATGGTTTACTCGCTTATTCCATGTCTATATGAATATTTGTCACTCTAATTTGGATTATAATACACAACTTCATTCTGTCAAATAACTAGAATTATCATGCTCTTATACATGCTGTTGCTAAGTAAAAAATAAAGCAAACTATTTGCAAATAAGTACTTTTCAGAATAAATAACCTGTACATCTTTTTTTCAAACAGTTGCAAAATAAGAACAAGTGATGGTATAAACATCAACTTTCAGTGATGAATCTATTTTGTTCATCACTGTCTTAAACCAGACCAGGCCACCTGTCCAGTCTGTCTATTTTTATTGTCCTGATTTACAGTGTCTGTTTTTTGAATGCTAATATTAAGGTTCCGCCAATACTGTGAAGAAGCATACCTGATTCTGCGAAGACATGGCAACCTATTTATCACCTTGTTTGCACTAATGTTAACAGCTGGGCTTCCAGAGCTAACTTCTGTTAAAGACATCCAATATCTAAAGGTACATCTCTAATAGTTTAGTGATATGGGGGAAACATGTTCAACTCCTTACTTGTTGATGAAACGCATTTGTTAGTTTTCAGTCAGATCTTATGTTTTCCAAGAAAACTGGATATAGATTAAATAAATAATTGACAATTTAGTCAGATAATATTGTACATTTTTTCTAAATTCTCTCCAAGCTTTTTCAGAGTAATTATCTAATATATTTTTATTATTTCTCATACAAGATAAACTTCTGCATCTAACCTAGGCAACAGTATTAATTCCAACTAGTAGCATCTTCCTAAAATCTCAGGCAGAGACCTTCAACAGCCCTGCCACAATATCCACCTCAACTCCCTAACCTAACCCAAGTTACTATATTATTGCAAGGCTGTTCCTATCATGCTTTTTCATTGATCGTGATGGCTAAACCAGACAGGAGTTTGAATTCAGCAGTATCTGGAAGACATCATGTTGCCCATTCTTTCTCTTTAGAGACTCTTTATCTTATTTCTTGGACAATATGTGTGACAACATAGATACAGTATATGCACTTTTCTAATAGCTTCCACCGAGCAAATACACAAGTATACATAATATAATTTTGCTTGTTTTTTTTTTCATCTGAACCCTGAATAATTCTTTAATAAACAGTGCAAAAATAATTTTCCAAAAAGTGAACATCACTTTTAACACTCTCATATAAAAAATGGTGAAGTAAATGGATTTTCTAGCTTAAATCACATGCTTTAGAAGGAGCTCTATATGTGGAGCTTTTCAACTTCGTTTTTACAGAACTGATTCTTTCATGAAGGAATATTTTATTGTTCATTTTCATTGATAAATATGCAATTGATGTTTGCTCAGAGCAGCATCTTCAAACTTTCAACATTATCTTGGTATTATGTAAAAATTATTATGTGATAATTTTTAGAAATTCCTTTTGCACCATAAAATTTCTGACCATCTGTCTCTGAATCCTGATTCTGCTTAATCTTCAGATTTATGGGGTAAAGTGGACAAGCCCCTTGATATAATTTTTTGGTAAAGGAAGGGTAAGATCATAATATTGTGAATTTCAAATGGTGAGAGGTCCTTGTGCATATTTTGTAAAATGTCTTCTTACCAATTCATTCATAATCCCAGCACAAGTTAATAGAACTTTCCCGGAGATGAGTTTAGGAAGAAATCTTTGAATTAGTGAAGTACTTAGGGATTATACTTTGTAAATTAATAGCTTTTGATTGTAAGAGAATCGAAATGCCAGTATAATTCCTGAACTTTCTGTTGAACTGTTTGTTGTAACACAAATTCCTTTCTTCTAAAGTAAAAAATGCTAGCACTACCTCATATTCTTTTTTTTAAGTTTTTTATTTATAATACAACCAAAAAAAAGAAAACATTCCAGTTTATACATTTCTATCAAATTATTTCTCCTCTTAAATTCAATTCTTTATCTCTATAAATATATATAAACTTTTTATACAATACTAAATACATTTTCTCTATTTGCTAACTTAAGAATATATATATTTCCATCTTATCGCTAATCTATAACCCCAACAGTCCTCTTTGATTCCCACCAATGGTACAATTTATCCCAGATTTCAAAATATTCTGATCCGCTTTTATCTGTCAGTTCCATCGTAAGCCTGTCCATTTCAGCACAAGATAGTATTTTATGCAGTATTTCTTCATCTGTGGGAGTTTCTTTGTTCTTCCACTTTTGTGCAAAAGCCAGTCTAGCAGCAGTCAAGATGTGCAACATCAAGTAGACTATTCCCTTGTCATATTTATCTGTGGTTATACCCAATAAAAAGAGTTCGGGTTTTAGCTCTATCTCCAACATTAATATTTCTTTCAACCATTTTCTTATCCTATTCCAATAATCATGGGCTTTAGGACATTCCCATCACATGTGGTAATAGGTCCCTATTGCTATTTTACATTTCCAACATATGGGTGAAAGATTTGGACCCATTTTGGCTAACCTCGTGGGTGGGAAATGCCATCTGTAAAACATCTTATAAAGATTTTCCTTATAAGAAGTAGCTAAAGTGAGTTTCCTGTTTCTTTCCCACAATTCTTACCAGATATGTAAATCAATACTATCTACTATCTCATATTCTTGTTGAGTTCTGCAAACCATAGGAATTAACTGCAGAACAATAGATTTGGTCAACAGTCTGCAAAATGATCTGAAAATATAGAGCATAAAAGACAAATAACATGTTTTTGTTACTTTTCTCAGGACTCTCTTGCCTTAGGAAAGAGTGATGAGGAAGCATTAAAACAGTTTAAGCAGAAATTTGATGAAGCACTCAGAGAAAGTTGGACTACAAAAGTAAACTGGATGGCACACACAGTTCGGAAGGATTACAGATCCTAAATGGTGGATGAATTTGCACTAACCTTAGAAGTTATCCTGACAATAAAGCATTAAAGGAGAAAAAAAACCAGACTATTTTAAAAGATACCCAAGAACTTGCCTAAAGATTTCTGATTGTTTTGCACTCTGCTTTGGAATGCTTCAACGAGATTTTGCAGAATCAGTAATCACTTCTGCTTACTTTGCACACTAGAAGTGACTAGTAAACTTTTATATTGTTTTGATACAGTGTAAATATTTGGGACTTTTTCTTGCTTAGACTCAAACTCTGATGAGATGATTAGAGATTTTTTGACAAACTGGTACTAAACTCCACTAGAGGTTTTGACACCACCTTTAATTTTGCTTCAAGTGAACTTTAAATGCATCAATATATCTATATTTTTACTTGCTTAAAGATTCATTCTACTGTACATAACAGCATCCATAATATTGCACAACAAATAGCTGCTTATTGGTTTCTACTGCTGCCAGAAAACTCTATATACTTAATAATGGGAAAATGTAAAAAGATGCCTTTTATTATAATGTTGTATAATGTGTTCAATGTAATGTTTTAAATTTTATGTGGAGGAATTATGTTTAAAAGAATTTTCTGTTGTTGGAAAATTCTACAAAATCTACTGCTGAACCTCTTTTTTAAAAAAACCACAGCATTTGAAATGTTAGACAAATGTCAATAAAAGAAATTAGCCTTTCAGTTTTCCAATGATACCTGTTAACAGATAGATTGTCCACCCCATGTAATATATTAAAGTGTAAAAACATGAATAAATATGAATCAAAATCTCCTTACAAGGTTTATATCTCTCCAAAAACCTGAGTTTTAAAAAGGAATTTAAAAATGAAGACAAATTCACCCAATGCTATACTCAGTGACAAAACATTAAAAAGGAAAAACAGATGAATTAAAACATAAAAAATGTATGAATGATTCTGATTCTTTTGCACCTTGCTTTGGAGAGCTTCAGCAAGGTTTTGTAAAATTAGTATTCTAATTCTGATTAGAATTCTGATTATAATTATTATAATTATCTTATTCTGCATGTTGTGATACTCTTTGTCATAAAACTATTTTCCCAGGATATTTGTATTCAGCCTTAAAATGACTGTGGTTGAAAAACTGGGTATACTTTAATTTATAAAACGAGGTACCATGCTTTAAGGTGCTTAAAAGAACAGTTCAAATTAAAAGTGCAATAGAATTTTTTTGGTTTAAAGATGTAACATGAAATATTTTGGAAAAAATGGCAAAATGTATTTGTAACAGGCTCTTGCTCGCCAAAGAACGTGGTAGCTGTTAATTTCTGTGGTGGTTGAGTGAACATATAATCAAAATAGTGATTTTAAGTAGGAATTGCATTAAATATTATATTTTGTCAAATGTTTCTGTTTCTCTAAACAACATTGTGAATAATGAATGTAGTTCATTTAAAATCTTGTTAAAATGTTAAGCGTCAAATACTGATAATACAAGCTAAATTACAAAATGTATTGTAGTAACAAGCTTTCATTATGAAGTGATTGTTACAGAAGTTTCCCATTCATTTTCATTATTGAAAGGTCAATTTTTTTAGTTTTCATTTTCAGTTCATTGCTTTAAATGATCTTATTTCTATTAATTTTAAAATTCATATTTTGCTACCTATGACTATGGAATGTTTTAAATCATATGAGCTTTTAATATATTATACTAGTGTTGTCCATCTATTTCACCCCCATCCCCAGCTTTGTGCCTGCTGAATTTCAGTCCCAAATAAAGTCAGTTTTATAAGCCATTTATATATATTTTGCCTTGGGTATCAATGGGAGGTTGTCTGCTCTTCTCTCATTTGTAACCCCTTTACAATATATCATCTGATGTGAAATGTTTAAGACTTAGTCATACAAAAAAAACCCAACTACCAAAGTTAGCTCAAAGTTTTCTATTCTGTATAGTTCATTTAATTCCTGACAATTTTATTACTCTCTTACCTTTCTCCCTTTAACTCATACAGCCCCTGTTGTGTATGTTAGGTGTTTATCCAGCAGAAACAGAAATAATGCAAGTTAAAACAATGAGTAATAAATTTTTCATTTGGAATTCATCAATTGAATTTATTTGGTTTTCTAATTGGAATGAATGAGATGTATTCATTCTTTTAGATATTAAAATGAATGCACATCTGCGTGGCTAGCACTGTGCTTTTCTGAAGCGTCTTTGTTTTGAGACATTTGATATTTGTCATATAACTAACATTGTCTTTTACATGGCATCATAAAATTGTTAATATCTTTTCAGTCAATTATTATGAGTATTAATGGATTATTGCAAATAGTAAATACAAAGATTCTCTCCAGTTGAATTCAGCTCCTGGTGCATACATTGAAATATCCATGCAATTTTCATAGCAGCAAGGTGGAAGTGCTTTGTCTGCCCCTTTCGCTGGATGCTGGATGTTTGCACTAGTTGCATTTAGTTGATACTAAGTGACAATAGTGGTCCTCATCTTTTTACTTACAACTTCACAAACAACAGCTCCTTTGGATTTCTCTTTTTTTCATTGTCCTTCCAAACACAAAAGGCATCTAGGTATCAGTTTATTTATATTTTATTAATTCAAAAAGGAGATGCAAAATAATGTATTAACTACTGAATCGTTGTGCTGATTTCTCATGCAAGCCATCAAAGAATGGAGTCATACATGGAGAACGATACACCAATTGCACAGAGAAGTTTCAGAAAAGGTATAAAGGTGTAATTAGATAGTTAATGTAAGATGTGGAAAGAGGCAAAGAATATAAAAAAGATTTGTCTTTGCTTTATTGACTATGGGAGGGTGGCAGTTTGTATATATTATAACAATATCAAATATACTAAGGTTATGGTTAGGCCACAATAGTTAATTATTCTTCCAAGTAACTTTTACAATGAACGATAATTACTGAATTTGGAAAACTAATGGCTCAGAATGGGAAAATTCATGAGAAAAGGATGCATGTTATCCCTGCATATTTTACTTATATGTGAACTTATAGAAATGGCAATGTTAGAAGCAATGTCAACTAGAATAGGCAGTCAAACACATTCTGAGGTGCATAGGTTACAGTTTTATGTATAGACTGCCCTAATTTGTCACAATTCTGGACAGGTAACAAACTGCACCAATACAAGAAAGATACCCATTGCTTAAAAAAGAGTCTGGAAGAAAACAGAGAGAGACCCAAAACATCAAGATAAGAGGTCTAGCATCTACTTTCACTCAGGGCCTGAAGGAAGAGCCTGGTTTTAAAGGCTTCTTTAAATAAAGCAAGAAGGGAACCTGTACACATTCTGGGAAGAATGATGTTCCAGAAAGCATCACCTTGACAAAAGTGCCCTGCTTCTTGGGTCCCACAAAGTGACACCCTGCACAGTCAACATTGACTGGAACTGATCACAAAGGAAAATAATTTCTGGAATACTATGCTCCCCACTCCTAATCCCTACAGGCCACCCAGACGTCAGTGCTACCAAAAGGGTCTGAATGGTGTCCTTTTGTTAGCCCAAAGGTTAAATCTTAGAAAAGCGCATTCTGAAAATAAAAATGAAAAATCCTGATTAATGTTAAATCCTAAAATGTAACAACTAGAATCCAGCATGCAAAGTGAAGTTTGATGTGACAGCAAAGCACTGAAGTGGTAGACAATTTGCTTTGGCTTGACAGAAAAAAATGACAGGATACTGAAGAGGTAAAAAAAAATTAATCTTCAGCATCTGTGATGAATTTAGGATGATGAGAATAAATATATTTGTGTTCCATCCACAGAGTAGTTCAAGCAATAGTCTTTCCAGGGTACAGTTCTAAAGGTTGAGCACTGAGAAAAAATAAAAGAAGGATACTTTCCAGAAGCAGATTTTGATATGGTTACTAAGAACATTTAACTATTTGGTTTTGGACCAAATGCCTTCTTAAAGCAATAATCGGCAAGTAAAATTTCACAAATTATTGTATGATGAATGGGATGATAAGGTAGCTGAAAAAGGGAAGGACAACAAACAAGGATGGTTATTGAAGACTGATTGAGATAGTGAATGTTTGTTCATACAGTCACTAGCAGATAAGCCTGACTCAGTGACAACTAATTTACTATGGGAACTCACTATTAGGTTCAAATGGATGGTTTCATTATTGGGAGCTTTAGAACTCCAGCTTTTCATTCTACTTTTAGAATCAAATTATTTATTGGCCAAGTGTGATTGGACATACAAGGAATTTGTCTCCAGTACATAAGCTTTCAATATACATACAAGCAACAGGTGATACATCACATGATTATAATCATAAATATAACAGTGATGGTCATAGGATACTAAATAAGCAGTCAACATAAATTATACTAGGATACTAAGTAAAATATTATAAATCATAAGATACAAGCAGCAAAGTTATAGTCATAAGAAGATAAGGAATAGGTAATAGGAAGGATGAGAAAGATAATAGTAATACAGCCCTACTAGGTAGTTTGACAGTATTGTGGGAATTAGTTGTTTAGCAGAATGATGGCATGGGGGGAAAACTCCTTGTGTCTAGTTGTTTTGGAGTGCAATGCCGTATAGCGTTGTCTTGAGGAAGAAGTTGAAACAGTTTATGTCCAGGATGTGAGGGGTCTATAGATATTTTCACAGCTCTCTTTCTTGCTTGTGCAGTATTCAGGTCTTCAATAGAAGCAGTCTGGTAGTAATTGTTTTTTCTGCAGTTGTAATTATCCGCTGAAATCTGTGTCTGTCTTGTTTGGTTGCGGTGCCAGACCAGACAGTTATAGAGGTGCAAATGACATACTCAATAATTCCTTTGTAGAATTGTATCAGCAGCTCCTTGGGCAGTCTGGACTTTCTGAGTTGATGCAGAAAAAACATTCTTTGTTGTGCTTTTTTGATGACATTTTTGATGTTAGGTGTCCATTTTAAGTCGAGATATTGTTGAATCTAGAAACTTGAAGGTCTCTACTGTTGATACTGTGTTGTCAAGTATTGTAAGAGGTGGTAGAATAGGAGGTCTTCTCCTAAAATCCACTATCATTTCTACAG